GCCAGGACAGCTGACCCAAACTGGCCAAAGGGACATTCCATACCATGTGACATCATGCTCAGTATATAAAGCTGGGGGGAGTCGGCCGGGGGTGGCGACTGCTGCTCGGGACCTGGCTGGGCATCAGTCAGCAGGTGGGGAGCAATTGCATTGTGCATCACTTATTTTGTATATTCTTTTATCATCATTATTGTTGTTGTTGTTATTATTTTGCCTTCCTTTTCTGTCCTATGAAACTGTCTTTATCTCAACCCTCAAATTTTACTTTTTTTTCCCTGATTCTCTCCCCCATCCCACTGGGGGCGGTGGGGGAGCGAGCAAACAGCTATGTGGTATTTAGCTGCCTGCTGGGCTAAACCACAACATTCTGTCAGCTCAAATAGGAGATGGATCCCTTGCGGCAGTGATGCGTTTGTCTCCAGGATACTGCTTTGTGTAGCACAGTTAGCAGTGGGGGAGCGAGCAAACAGCTATGTGGTATTTAGCTGCCTGCTGGGCTAAACCACAACATTCTGTCAGCTCAAATAGGAGATGGATCCCTTGCGGCAGTGATGCGTTTGTCTCCAGGATACTGCTTTGTGTAGCACAGTTAGCAGGAAGAGGATTGGTAAGGGCGCTGGGAGATCAAGGTGCTGTTTCCAGCTTCGCTCCAGGCTGTATGTCCCTTTGTCCCCTCAGTTTTTTGGATAAATCACAGCTTCTCACAGACAATACAACTGGGTCACAACTAAACGAAAAATTCCCTCCTTGTCACCACAGTTCACAATTGGCACCATGATTCATTAACACAGTAGCTAAACACTTCTGAATAACACAATTTAATATATTTGAAAATACATTTGCACATTACAGACAATTTTAGGAAATGCTTCACCTTTCACAAACCAGTGGCCAGTGTCTCTCATTGGGGAAGACATACAGTGATACCAATTCTGCCAATACCTGCTATTTCTAAGGCACGCTTTTGCAAACCACTTTAGAAAAACACTGCCATAGGAATACGTTTTATATTTCATTACCATTAAAGCTTCTTTTAGTGAAGAGATAAATTGGCTGTGTAACCTAAGATTTTCTAAAGCAATGCAAAGCTCTCAAACTTACTGTTTTACAAAGCGGTAATAAAGGACACGGTGCTTTCTATCTTTGTACAGATATTTACCTTTTGATGAATTAAAAAAGTCACTTTGCCCAAAACCAAAATGAAACACAAAGCTCAAAATTCAGAAGTTTTCTTTATAGGAAAGGGTGCCCCAGGCATTTGGAGCCCGTCAGTTACATAGCTCAGGTCCAGCTTCTGTGACAGGTCTGATGATGCCACCCTGCTAATGGGATCCAGCCTTAAACACGGTGCAGCACCTCTCGCCTTCCCCTTCTGTCTCAGTGATTCAGGCTGCAGCCCTGGCTTTGCAGGGCTGCCTGCAATTGTCATGCAGTGGAATAACTTGTGATTCCTAAATTAAAATGCATCGTTCTATTCTATTGGGAAATGAGTGCCATGACCATGGAGTGGTCACTGGATGAGGGAAAACAAGGGTGAACCTTAATTCACCTTTATACTCATTTATTGAAATTAACTGACTGTTGCACGGCTGGAGCCCAGATAATGCTCCACGTTTATGACTGGTTCTTCTACAACTTGCATACAAGTGTTCGAATTACATTTTAACATACGAGTGTATTCACTTTCTCTCTGACAAAATACAAATACAAAACCGCCTTCTAATAGCACTTCTGTAATTTTGTAGGTCAGAATTACATACAGTATTATCAGGCTTTCACGAGAAACAGAGCAAATAAGCTTGAACTTTTGAAAGTGAAATCACTTATAAAAGCAAAGTGAAAAGATGTGTATCCAACATCAATTATTATAATCACAGAGCTGAAATACAGCAACATTTTCTCATTTGTACATATGGAACAGCAAAAAAGTAAAAAAATATATACATACAACAAGCTTAATAGGGAAACAAACCTGAAACAGTTCTCTACTGCTCATGGATAAGACAACTTTCCCTTACATTTTTTAGTGCGTTCCCTCTCATTCACAAGAACTAATGCATTTTATCTTCCTGTTCTAAGGCGAACTGAAAACAATCAAATCTTCCTTCAAACCAAGAACAGTTGTGAACTAGTGAATTAACACATATTCACCTGAGATCATTCTGAAATATAGGACAAGATCAATAATGATTAACAGCTAAGGTGCACAACCATTTTGTCATTTTTAAAGAGAAACAGCCTTTATACAGAACAGTTTTTGCTACAGAACAGTAAAACTGTCATCTGTAAAGAGAATTATTGGAAACAGTATAGGAGGAGACACTATGAGGACCGTAAGCAGCTTACTCTTCTACTTTCTTCTATGCAATATTGTCCTGTTCTCAACTTTCTGTAACATAAAAAGAGGGAGGGGAAGGAAGAATAAATGGAAAAAAATTAATGATTAAAAATATTTCTTCTGTAACTCCATTTATTTCATGCCTATGTCAGTTTCTCTCAAATCCGTTGAGTGACTTCAAAGTAGTCCTATGGTAAATACTACAAGTAAATGCATTTCATCTAGGTCAAACAGCATAAAGCAAAACCACAAAGCTAAATATAGTCTACGTGTGTATCCAGCTCTGATTAATGGGTAGAATTAAACCTGAGGTAAAAATAAATGAGCCGATGCTTCTATTCTTCTTTTATATCTGGAATTAGTTATTTAATCCTTTCTAGAGTAATTCTGTTGAATATAATTGGTATCCACTAGTGACATGTTCAAACAAAATCAGCTTGACTACTGATAACTACTTAAAAGCATCACAAAAGTACATTCATTCAAGCACTGAAAAAGTCACACCTGCAATGGTAAACAGAGAATTACCATTCATAAATTCTACTGAGGAAAGCAAGGTCAAAGCTAAAGGGGCTGTCCTGTACTATGTGTTGGTCTCAAGAAACAGAGCCACAGTGATGTTTGGAGGTGGGAAGGATCCGGGCAAGAGTGAAAAGGAACATTTTGTCTATTTATTTTTTGCTCACTCTAGGACATGCATTAGTACTGTATCTGCATGCACCAGGTCATGAAATCATTTAACATTCTGTTCTCCACTCTCATGACTTGGGGATGTATTATTATCTTTAACGTGTGGTACATGAGAGGGAAAAAGAAATAAATTTAAAATCACAGAAGAAACCCATGCTGCGGCTAAGAACTAAACTCCAATTTCTAGCATCTCATGCCAGCATTTTAATCAGGAGACCATCGGGCAGAAGTGCATCATTCACATGCAGCCTTGATCGTCTGTTTGGCACAGCTGCTTAGCGACTACCCCATGTGAGAGGAATAAAATCAGAGGGGAAAGTTGTGTCCTGCTTACAGAAGTGCTCAGAAATACTGAAAAGCATGAATGTACACGTGTATCAGAGTACCATACCAGCCACAACTCTGATGAATCTGTGTAGGGAAAATAAAGTAAGACTAAGATTCAAACCCAGATCCTGCAGAGATCAGGCGTCTCACAGGAAATATAACCTCCAAACTGAAAGGAAATCTATGGCTACCATGTTTACAGGTGAAAAAACAACCAATCCAACATCACTTTGGCAAAGCCTATAGCAAACAAAGCTACGATTTTATAAAACTTGTTTGCATCTCTATCACTCTGCAGATTAAATCCAAGTATTTATCTTGGGATGTCTTTGTTGTATCAATGCATCAAATGCAATTAAATATTAATGCAAAACAAAAAGTCATGTCAACATAGTGTACTCAAAGTGATCCAAACTTGCAAACTGAAGTAACAAAAAAAAAAGCAAACCTAATTTTAAAATGTATTTTCATTGTACCTTCAAACACTAACACAACTTGATTTTGTACAGCATCCTACATATAAGTTGTACCCAAAACACGTAGCAGACTTTAATATCACAATTGCAGAGTTAAGCAGCAGAAGAGGAGAAGAATTAAGTGCTGCAGGCAAGGAAGAAAACATAAGCTCTCAGACAGGATTTGAAACAAAAGGGAGAATCAAGATAACTTTGTGTCCTGTTTTAAGTTTAGAAGAAGTAAATGTCATAAAGCAGTATCAAAATGATTCAGTTTACCTCAATAGCATCATCCATTTCTGTGATCTCATACAATTATTTCAAGCTTGTTTCTGAATTAGGGAACTCTTTTTCCGGAGAGCTGTCATCGCTGAGGTCACTGTAGCTGTCACTGTTAAAAGCAATACACAGTCAGAAGGATCTAAACCAAATATTTTATTTCAAACCCTCCAACCCAGATGATGCATATGACCAACACTTTCCTCAAATGCAACCCATTTCCAGAAAAATACTTTAAGCTCATGCTCAATTTTGGTACTTTAGAGCACCTTCCTCTACAGGAATGGGCTTAAGTTTGGAGTCTAAGACCTGATGAGAAAAAATACTCTACCTGATAAACAGTCTGTCCAATTTCTTTTTGCTTGGCTCCTGTACATTCATTCTACAGTTTGTTGGTGCTGCGTGCCTGCGACCACGATTAACAACATGGAGAATAACAGGTATTCAGAGCAAGACTAAAAGGAATTTCTCATTTATGATAAAGAAAATGATTGTTTTGACCAAAGAAAAAGCTAAGACTTAAACTTCATTTACTCAGAATGCTTCAATTTACACTTAAATTACAATTCTTGCTCTTCCAGTCAGAAAAAAATCATTTTCATTGCCCCAAGCAATATCCTGACAGTTTTTCCTGAAGTTTTATCCCCTTCTGCTCTTTCCTGAGAGATGTAGACTGGTTTTCACAGAACAAACTGCCATGCAAGTGACTGTTTTATAAGCAGCCAGAACAAGTAAACAGTGAAGGACAGGAATCACCACAGCAACCGAGAGAAAGAAGTGCCCACAAACCACATTTTCAGTCAGCCGTGATGTCTATCGGGTCTCCAGGTTTATCTTAACTCTAAATGCACAAACTGCACCTCTTCAGAAGAACCTCCAGCCTCAACCTCCCCCTATGACACTTCAATTCTACAGTCTGTTTTCCAGATACTTGAACTTCCCAAGATCAGAAGCCAACAAAGGGAGCCCAGGGAACTGACAAGTATATTTAAGCAGCAATAATTCTGGTCAGTTCTGTGATACCTCAGAGAGCAGGTTATGGTTAACACAGTACAGGCAGGGATCTCAGACCTCATTTGTGTGGGTACACCAGCGTCAACCTTGGGTACCAACTCTACTCCAGCCACTGCACACCTGTCTCGTCACGTCTCACTCTTACCACGTACACCTCCATCCTCCAGCCAACGGGACCTCAGTCACGTCACGCTCCCCACCTCTGAGCACGATCTCCCACTGAGACATCAAGCGCATAATCAGCCCATGACCCGCCTAGACACAGCCCTATCAGTTGATCCGCAGCGACTGCCTGCTGTGTAACGTTTCAAGGCGAACTATGTAACCTCGCAGCTGGAGATCTTTGATCTAGACTGCAATGTGGAACAGTGAACAAACTGCACTCAGTTATACTGGTGCTTGTTACTGAGCACTGCTTTGTAGCCTGAATTTCACCCTCTCTTCTTTGCAAAAAAAAAAAAAACAAAACCCAAAACAACAAAGATTAGGTAAAAACACAGACATTTTTATAGAGTGGGACAGGAGGAGTGGCACCAACAGTCGTCTCATTTAATTTCTACCTCTGACTGTTAGGAAAGCCTCCCACAGTTACAGCAAATCACCGTACCAAATTCTGTACAAGACAGAGTAGATATTCCAACTGTTCTAACATTAAGACTTTGCCTACAGCATTCTGCCCCTTCTTTGCATGACACGCATGTTGTTGATGCGGTTCTTATAAAGAATGTGTCATTATCAGGCTTGCGAGAAATGCTCAATTTGATCATTTCACCAGCTGGCAAACAATTACACAGTTCAAGTGAGGAAAGTGTTGTTAACAGTATGATCAAGCATGCCAGATGCACACAGACAAACACAACATCACTGACATTGTACTTACTTCTTTCTGAAAGTACCCATGGAAACATGGAATAAGAATTCAGTATTATTAAAACAGTTTTGCATTTTCACATCACAGCAAAATAGCAAAAATTGTCCACAGAACAGAGGGTAAAACTGTGACTGCAGAGAGCTGCGTGATCTCATGATAGCCCTGGTTTAAGCCCAAAGTCTTCAGAGAAGTTTGTTTTTTTTTTTAAACAGGCTCTGCTGCCCAGTGGCAGTCACAGCCCAAAAACATATGCCAGAGCTCCATATACAACACAGTATGGGAGACAGACGCTTAAGTAAAAATGCGCAGGGACCAACGAGATGAGCGGAGAACTGCCCAGCTTCATCTGTTGAAGACAGTTAGGCGCTGATCCCCACTCAGCACTCTCATGTCCCCTACCCAGTGGGTCCTCCCCCACTCAGCGACATAGGTTTTAGAGGCATTCGCCCATAGAAGCAGTCACACAACGCTGGCTGCTTCCGTCATTTCATTGACTTACCACCCTAACTTCTCAGGCCTGTCTCCAGTTTGCAGAAGCTGAGGGTCATTTGGCTAGCCACTAGCCCAGAGGCTAAAACACTTACTCGGCCGATGACAATTTTGCTCCTGCTCCCGCACTGCCCAATTCCGTACAAGGTTTGACTCCACATCCCAGAGTAGGGCTCTTGTCACCGCGTTCTTGACTGTTTTGCAGTAGCACCTCATGGTCTCCCCTACTTTAGGGCTGTCCTGCTGGGTGTAAGTCAGTTTTGTTGCTAACAGGCAGGCCATAGTTGCAAGAAAGATAGGGGAAATGCCCAGGCAAGGGTCAGCCCTTGGGCTTCAGACTCACAGAACTGTCAGTCTCATCGTTTCAGCTGCTTGAACGATAAGCACCCCCAGAAGCTGTGGCATCATGTTAACAAGAAGAACTTGGGCTCCAAGGAAACCTGAACTTCTCCAAGAGCTAAGCTGCCGGTGGACTTGAAAGCAAACAGGGACTCGTGAATCTTGGCATATCTGCACCTGGGTGCTATAGCTTCAAACCAGTGCTGATGCCTAGTTTGTAAGATTTACTGTGATATGAACTGTGTTCAACTGATAAGTAATCTGAAGAAAAACTCCAGGTGGTATTAACCACAAATGAGTCATCACCTCTCTTAGGAATAAATGTGTACTACCTTCCAAATTATACCGGGTTGCTAGACAGATATTAAACACAAAAACCAAATGGATATTTTGTGCTCACAGTTGCTAATATTATGTAATCTTACTTAAATATGCTGGCTATGAAGGTGGTGGTGGTGGTGGGAAATCAAATAAGCCCAGCTTTTCCTTTATTAAATTCTTTTTCACACTGAGTCCTCAACTGAAAAAATATGCTTACATTTCCTTCAGCAAGTTTTCTCTCAGTTTGTGTACAAATTAATTAGTAATTATCTTGGGCAGAAACCTGACACCCACTTCATCTTGTTTGTAACCATTCCCACAACAGTGGACTCCAATAAAAAGGAGCTAGTGAGCAGATCTAAGGCCATGACAGCGGTTCTATTCCGTCTTTTTTTTTCCTCCATGGGATCTGGAGTATAAAGATGTGGCCAAGAGAAAAACAGAACAAAACTCAGAGTATGCAGTGTCACTGCATCTAGTCAGTCACTTCAGTCTTCAAGATGGAGAATTTTGGTCACTTTGATCCTTACACCGAATCTACCTGTAGTTAATGGAAACACAGTCACTGCAAAGTGAAATATCAACCAGTACCTAGGTGATATTTCACTTTGCAGTTAACTGCAATGTGAAACATCTACTAGTACCTCACTGGCATTTCACTTTGCAGTGAACTGCAACATATTTCCCGACTGGAGCAAGGAAAACATCCTCTGTTGAGAAATTACATTACAGGGTTTTGTTTTAAGTTTTACTCATCCTCAGATCCTCATCTTCTCAAGGCATAAGCAATAAAAAAAGCTTCCCCCTGCATGTGCTCCATTATTACCAAATTCATGCCCATTTCAGATCTCTCTGTTCTACTGACAGAGGTATCATCATACCTCTGCTATGCATCAGTCTAAAGCACAGGAGGCGGCAAGATGAGAAGGTTACCTATCAGTATGGTACAGAAGGCAGCCGACAGCTGGGGCCACACGGCATGAAGCTGGGATGCATCACCTCAGCAACCAATCTCAGCCGCAAAATCACTAGAATTAAGACTCAAGATCAATTTTAAATCTTTATTTCTCAAACAGCTGCTCAAAAGCACCAAACTGCCTGCTTTCGATGTTTTTATTAAGAAACACAGGCAACTGTAAAATGGGTACTCCTTGAACGTTCTGTTTGTTTCATTTGGAAAACCCAGATCAACATTCTTTAGAAATAAAGTATTTGACACAGTTTCAGAGGGGCTTTTTTCATCCTTTTTTAATGTATAATTAACAAAAAAGTCCTTTTCCAGAAATGTAAGCAATTTAAACAATTGTTACAGTAATGCCATTCCCTACAAAGGCAGGAACCAAGCTAAGTGCATTTCTTCCTCAATGCAAATTAAAGATAAATGTATTCACATTTAGTACAGGCTGTGGCTGTTTAAAACAAACAATTGTTATAGCTAACAAGAACCTAGCCAAAAGAAATCTGTCCATTATTATTCCCCTCACAAAAAGCTGAATGATTAATGATTATATAGTCATCTGTCCATTATTATTATTTATTCCCCTCACAAAAAGCTGAATGATTAAAATTATTATAGTCATTAAAATATTATTTAAAATAAATGCATACTTGATTGTGCAATGGTTATAATTGCAGTCACCCATATTTCTCGGTGCATATTTTTATGATCATTATATGATCATATATCATTTATGATCACCATCATTATACAATCCTATGCTTCCATGAAACATCATTTCATTAAAGAATCCCTCAGCACTTACCTAAGACTCCCCAGTTCCAGCCTGCCAGACATCTGCACTCACATAACTGGACCCAAGATAACGGTTTTATTAGGATCCAGCATTACAAAAATCACAATCAAGATGCCAGAATATATCTGGGTGTTATAAAAACTCTCAGCTGAGTCTCATGCATGGGATTCAATTCATTCAGCTTTAGACATCTTCATCTGAGATAGTTACCACCAGCTTCTTACAATCAAAGGAGAGAAACAGGCACTTGTAGGGTATAATGTTTCTGACCCACTTAACCATTATGATGAGCTATTTGGCTCCTTTAAGGTGCATATTCACTTAGTGACTACAGAAAAAGACTTGGGGTGACTAGCTCCGAAGTGACTTTACTGTAAACATCTACCATTAAAATGACAAAGTAACTAACCATTACTAAGTTCATCACTAAGTACCACTACGGTTGAGAAGGAATTTCCTTTAAAACTTTTTCTATAGTTTTCTGTAAGAGCTCTGAGGGTACCAACAGGTCTTAGCTGCCCTGACCATCCTCACCTGGGGCCTCCACCAATGGGCCCAGGAGCCTTGACTCCCAATCCTTGCCTGAGCTATGTTGCAGGCACGCCTGTACCCATCTCTAGTTCTGTAGTCACTTGTTGACTGGACTTCCTGGATTGACCTCAGACCTAACTCATCACTTTGCACTTATGCACTGGACTGCCTGTACAACATGGTGACTGTCACTGGAGCCAGTCCGCTTGCTGCCTTTGGTGACTGTGGTACTCACTCCTGCTGGTGAGGACACTACCCCTACCAGTGCAGTTGCCACCTCAGCTCCTGGACTGTCTTCTTTTGTGGAGCAGCCCCCCTCTTGCTGCTCTCTTGAGAGTCTTCAAACCACAAGATTTCCTTCATTTTCCTCTGAAATGTCTGGATTTGGCCAATGGCAGAAATATGATGCTGTGCCAGATGTGTTCTTCATTAGGGACATCGTACAGGAGACATCAGAGATAGCCCTGCCCATACCTGCTTTGTCCCTCATACACCAGAACGTGTCACACAGGCTGTTTCCTGTTCTGTCTATAGGTGCTTGCCCAAACCTCCCTACACAGCTGATTTAGGAGATAGTTGGACCATGTTAGTGCAGTAAGCACCATATGGGCAAGTCTTCTGAGGTTTTTTTCTATATGCACCACTCCTGTCCTCTGGCCACTTTTGTTCCTTGTCTCTGAATGCAACTCATAAGTCATCTTTTATTAATAACCTGCCCAGAACTTTACAGAGTACTCTGTGACTAGATGGCATTGGATTGGTGCCTTACATTAGCATATTCACTAATGACTTGCAAAAATTTCTTTTGGCGGTAGTCCTAGTTGCCCACACTTTCTCACCTAGGAACACCTCTCACTTCCTACATTTCCTCCCATCTACTGGACATTTGTGTTTAAATTATTTATCTTTAGCTTGTTACCCTCTTCCTCCAAAGAAACACAGGATTTCATTATTTTCAGCACAGGTTTCTAAATTCCCTATGTATTTTCATGTTATTGCTTTGTTCTGAATAGTGCTTTCAGCTCTTATTTAAATGACATTATTTGCAAATATCATTAGTGCACTGTGGCCTACTCTTGCAGGCCATTAATAAAGATGTTGGTTGAGGGGAAGGAAGAAGTAAAGCCTGCTGATGCTAAACTTGCCGGGGGGGGGGGGGGGAACAGCAACATGCCTTTATTTTACATCAGTGGTTTTGCAATCCATATGACACTGTTCCCAAAGATAAGCCAGTTTCTATTACTTTTTCCAAATTAAACTCTGTAAGACTCAGTAAAAGCCAACATTACATGTGAAGTTCCCCTCTTCATCCACTAGTTTTCTAGTAAAACCTTTTGGTTTCTCCTAAAAAGCAGCCGTTTTTGTGGGTATTGTACACTTGCTGAGAGTCTCCTGTGGTTCTGGTTTTCTCTGTCCTTTAAAATGAAACAGGTAAACTGGCAGCCTCTCACTTTCCTCAGCTCTGTGTGAAATGATGACTTCAGTATTTCCATGAAAAGATTTGGAAAAGGTCATGATTTGAAAGCATTCAGAAGGAAATGAAGTGCATGGCTTTGTCTGATGGTTAGACACTCATGCCATAATGCACTAGAGGCTGAAATCACAAAGGCAACTTAGATTCCCAACTACCACTTCAGGTAACTAAGTAATAACTCATCGCTGAGTTACTCCAATCCTTTGCTCAGTTCCTGACTGTCTCTGTACACACCAAAGCTCCTGGGAACTAAGTTTACCCCAGAGGATGCATTCCAGTCTCAAACTAGGTATGCTCATGCCTATGTCTAAGCATTCTCAGACTGTCTACCAGACTAGGCCTCACAAAAATTTAAGAGAAGGTTTATTCACTTTTATTTATTTAAGGCACTCTCCTGGGAGGTGTGATGCATCTTTAAATTTACTGTTCGCTTTGCTTAGAAGCTAGGGCTTCTGTCCAGGTGTCAGATGTTCTAAAATTGCATCCTAATTATGGGGCTGTTAAATGTTCTGGGTAATGATTTGCTCTTAAGAATCTCATGCCGAAATATGTATTTCCTTTTGTCTCAGGACTTCATCATTAATTCTCCTTTTAGTGTTTCTAATAGCCTAGTTTAGGTAATCTGCTCAACTTGCTGGCCTCCACAAATTCTCTTTCAGGTTATATCTTTGCTCTAGTCAACAGCATGACTAGAATTCAGGTAGGCAGTGCTGGATGAGGTGTGCAGAAAATCCTCTCCTCAGATTTGTTTCAGTCTTGTTATGACATGCCTTAGCTTTACAGCTCAGTGAAATCACTAGCATTCTGGGGTTTAAAGGTTTAAATTAGAAATCCTTTCCACTCAGCAGGTGAATATGTTAATATGAGTGGGTGTCCTGTAATTAGTACTGAAATTCCCTCCTGAACATTCTTCCCTGCAAAATGCTCCTCTCTTAGCCTCAAAATGTTTTTCTATTCCAATGCTGTTTCTCAAGACAAGAGAGGTTTGCTCGATTGCTGTGTAACTAGGTAAATGGTAAAATTTGTATTTTTATATATAAAGTTCTGGGGTATGAATTCTTGTCTTTGCTAAATGTTTCAGTGTTGGTTGGAGTTTGTTGTATGAACATGAAGAAAAAGAGCCAAGTATATATTTTTATTGATTAATTCAAGTAAGTGTAAGTGCGGCACATTCAATAATTGCTGAAACTTAAAGTCAGGGTTAGAAAACATATTTGCTATAATGCTAAGGGATTTAAATTTAAATTAGCAGGACATATGCAGATCACTCATTCAAAAAAAGTAATATTCCTTTACCTCAGAGAGACAAATAGGTATACTTATGGGAGGAAGCGGTAAAAGAAAGGATATTGGGACTTGGAAAATATGATGAACTGTGAGGCAGAGGGTGCCCACAAGAGGAAAGACTGAAGATCACTGTGCTTGAAGACTCCCTCCTGCCAAGCACCACAAAAATTTGACCTGTATAATGCACTGGCACAAATTTTAAAAGATAGATAATATTATGACCGTTAATAACAACGACAGGCTAAGGTAATAGGAGTATTTCGATCAAGCTGTAGTTTGCAGATCAGAAAGAAATTCTCTCTGTATGTACATCATTGCACAATTGGCCAGGGTGAGCGAAGATGAAGTGCATTTATGAAAGACAACTGATACCCATAAGGAGCAAGGTACCAAAATAGATTGATCTGGTCTGGCTTGGCTATTTTCCATTACTACTGAAACCTGAATAAAATTTCTATTTCTCGCTTAAGAAAGGGACCTCATTTTAATAGAAAGCAATGCTCAGAAAAAAAAAAACCCACAAACACAAAACTAGCAAGTTTGGTGCCTTGTTTAGAGGAAAAGCCAGTAAGCCAGAGTTGGATCCGTTCTGTGTTATTATTCAGTCATTCTGTGACTGTTTTTTTTAATAATTTTTTTTTTCATTTTTGTTATTGTACCCTAGGCTTCCCTCTGACCTCTTTATTATTGTTATTGTAATGAAATTGTAACTGTTGTTAATATCATTGAAATAAACAAGAATGAGTTAACACTGGCTAAAAACTATTGCTACATTCAATAAACCAAAAACTCTGTGTCCAAGGGAACTGGGACAAAGGATTTTAGTTTGGCTGAACCATCCAGTTTTGATCTAGATCCAAACCCTTCCATAAGCCTAAAGATATCCTAACTGTTTTGTTTCAGGCCTGTCTCTGCTAGATGGTATTAATTATTTAGCTACTACAAAATAAAATCAGTGTTTTCTTCTTTGTTACTATCATCATTCAAATACAACTAGGTAAGAATTTCACTGCATTGCTTGATCCTCTAGCAAATCTCTTTCCCTGTGAAACTACCGTTACTGAAAGTTAACACAGGAGGCCACTAACTTCATGTGAAATTACTAAAGGGTTTTTTTACTTCTTTCTGGTTATAATGTATGGATCTGGCTTTAGCCCTAACAGCCTCTGAAAAGGAGGAAGTCAGGAACTGTGCTTACTGCTTACAGATACTTTTACACCAGGGTTTATGTCAGGCAAGCACAGGAACAAGTAAATCAATACATGAAGAACTCCTTTTCCCCTTCTGGACTTCTGAACTGAAGGACAGGATAGTCCCTCCAAAAATGTGACTCTCAAACTGCAGGCAAGTAAGTAAAAAAGATTACCTTGGAGACAATTTACATCCACGTTGCAGGTATGCATTGAGTGTCCCAGTTGCTGCTAGCAACAGTCCAAGGTATGGAGGTGAAGGTTTCATAGGTCTTGAGGAAAACTCTGGGTGAAACTGAACTCCCACAAAATACGGGTGATCTACAAGATAGATGTCAAAGAAAATTATAAGATGTAGGAAGACAATAGTAGAACAACTGTTAGGAAAAAAGTATTGAAGATTTCACACAGGAGTCCGAAAGCCAGATCAACATGTGTGAATAAGGGCAAGGCAGCAGGAACCTTAGCTTTTTCCACAAAAAGCAACTGACAACAGAGGCAGAAGGATAGTAAGGCAAATTAAGGAAAAATCATCCTGTGATTCAACCTTAACGTGCGCAATGATGTAATTAAAAGCTGAATAATAAACCTGCACCGACATGTAAGGGGGGGAGCAACCACAAAGTCTACATTTATCATGTTATTTTCATAGTATTTCGGTTTCCAATATATATTTATGCATGTATATTCAGAACACGCACCCATACATATCTGAGGGGAAAATGAAACAGTTTCTAAAAGACCAAGCATTACCATACAGCAACTATTTACACACTAGGAGATGGATATGAAAGCAACATACAGAGAAAACTGGGGAAAACAAGCTTCAAATAATTAGGCCTGGAAGGGATCTCCTGGGACATTAAGTCCAGTCTCCTGTTATTGAATGCAGCTACATCGTGTAGTCTCACGCACAAAGGGTCACCGTAACATCCCCTAGGTTTTTTTACTCCCACTAGAAAGCCCTTCTGATACTCTCTCCTTTTGCTTAGAAACCTTCTCCTAATTCACAGGCCATCTTTGTTCCAGCCAACTTATATCCATTTCTTACGGTGCTCTTCTTTCCTGCTGTTTGGCCTGTGTGATTAAGGATGACAATATCACCATCATTCAACTCCACCTCATGCTGCTTCATCTTCTCTTAGATCTTCAGCTCTCTGTTTCCCAAAGCACCTCTTTACTACTGCTTCTGCTTTCCTTCTTATCCGAAAGGATAAGGAAGGAAAAATGTTTTCATACTCTTTCATGCTGTGCACCTCTTCCTTCTTTGAATATTGTTTTAAAGGAGCTAACATTAACCACTTCTAGTGCCAGGACACTGGACAAAATTAACCACAGACCTCTTCTGGTTCGACAATTTCCAAAATAATCCCAAACATTCAAGGAATTTCTCTGCAGTACAGAATAAGTGATAACAAGAAAACTGGGTTTTTCTTCTATGAAAGATAAACTATATGATCTAGTATACTGCTCTTCTCTCTGCTGCTATGTCTTAAAGAGAACCTGGATCCTAAATTTATCCCATAACTTCTTTCTCTCTACCATGCAGTTCAGTTCTGTAAAGCTGTAAAACAAGACAATGACAAAGCATCAAATATTTCCTGTGGGGGTATTTTGCTTAAAAGCTTTGCCTAAGCTATCTGGTGTACTGTTATTTCTGTGCTTCCGCTCCAACCCACCCTCCTCCCTATGATGATTGTTTTTCCTTAGTAATCAGAGTCTCCTTGCAGCCCACTGTGAAATAATTCCAGGTTTTACTGCTGCTTTTATTCTTTTCACAGTAACACGCAATTTAAAAATTCTGCCTGATTTATTTCACGATGCTCTCTATAGAAGTTGTTTCATGCAGGGCAGACAAAATAGCCTCCCAACACCAGCACGCATAACAGAGGTAATCTATCGGGAACAAACTAAGCAAAGAAAACCATGACAATTAATAGTTTATGAATTCACATGTATCCTTTGCTCTCAGATTACTCTCTATGGTGCATTTGCTTGACATTGTAAGTAGGTGTCTATATTCAAACCCTGGTTCAAAATTACAGCACTGTTCTTCAACATACCATGGAGTATATAAAATGAATTCTCAGGAGCATCATGTCACAAATAGCGCTCCATAGGATGATAATGTATTCTTATGATAAATTTATGTTTGTGTGCATGGAGTTTATCTTAACCAATAGCAATTAGCGGCCACATAAAAAAAGAAAAAAAAAAATCTTGTAAGGTAGCCTACATCTTCAGGTGCCTGATACTTATCTAGCCAACAGTGACTTAATAGCAAGGAGTTAAGCAAAGAATCAAGCAAAATCAAAAGGATTGTTTCTAAGAGCTACTCTGTGTAGCATTCAACAAACATATGCGGTGTAGCTCCTTTTTATTTCAGAACCTTTTAGAAAAGGCATCAAGTCTTACTTGGTAAAGTAGTCCAAATCTACCAGATTTCCACAGTGTCAAACCCTCATCTATCTGAATCACTTCTGTGAAATAAAGGAGCTTGCTTTCTATTTGATTTTCATAGTTTTTTCTATGATTCTAAATAGAGGGTAACTGAAGGAGACACAAACTGATTGGAAGGCACCTTGGGAGGTCTCTAGTCCCACCTCCTGCTCAAAGCAGGGTCAAGTTCAAAGTTAAATCAGGTTGCTTACAGCTTTGTCTAGTCAAGTTTTGAAGGTTTCTATCTACAAGGATAGAGATTTCACAGCCTCTCTAGGTAATATATTCCAGTGATGTTTTATACTTTGGCTATATTGCATGTATACATATTTCATATACTCAAGCAAACTGAACATATATTAGTTATTGGGACCTGACTAAGAATATTTGAGGGTGCTTAGGGAGCAGGGCAATGTCATCGTGAAGCTGGTTTTTAATCTTTAAAAGGCCAAGGTGATCATGAGAGGTCCCTGATGACTGGAAAGAGGCAGTCACCATGTCCTTCTTCAAGAAAGACAAAAAGAAGGATCCAAGGAACTACAGGACAGTCAGCCTAACCTCAGTTTATGGCAAGATTATGAAACAAATCCTCCTCCAAGGCATTTCCAGACACATGAAGGACAGGAAGACAACTGGGCACAACAAACTTGGGAACAATCAGTCTTTGGATGCAGGAAGAGCAGTATTGCCTTCCTTTATCCTGACTTTAGCAAGGCTTTTGATGTGGTTTCCTAGCATCCAAGTTGGGAGCTATGGACTATGGGTAGACTACAAAGTCTGTTAAAAAAATGGCTTGACTGCTGGGTTCAAAGAGTAGTGGTGAGTGGTATGAAGTCCAACCAACAGCATACTTGGAGATACTCAAAACTTGACTGATACGGCTTTCAACAACCTGATCTATATTTGAAGGTAGCCCTGTGTTGAGGCAGAGGGTTGGACTAGATGACTTCTCAAATCACTATGATTCTACATAGCCAAATACCACTGAGCTAGAATTATGACCTTTTGGAAAAGGAGCATGTCTCTCCCTGATAATCAAATACATACACAATCCTTGAGAAGCGTAGGACTTCTCCTAACATCCTCTGAATCTTGTACTACACAGGTGGAGTCAGCAGTATCCCCCAACATGATCTTGGCTGTTATGACAGCTAAATATTGTGCCTACATACCATTTAACAACCTATAGTTTACAGGGTTTTAATAGATGCAGAAAGTACTACAGACAAGTAAGACACTCACTCTCCAGTTCAATAATTTCCATTCTGTTCCCTTCCGTATCATGGCCAACAAATTTCAAACCTTTCTCTTCAAAGCAGTGAGTCAATTCTGGGTTCACCTGAAATATTGAAAGTAATAATAATTGTAGTTCTATTTCTTTTTGGATTTAACAAACAGTAGTATTTAATTGTAATGTTTTTAGTATGCATACAAGAATGAAAATAATTGAGAAAAGAGTTGGGAACTTTTGCTTTCTTGTTTTAACAACTCTCTGGTATAAATTTGTAAAAGTGGGCATGCTTATTTAATAAGAGATGAATCAATAATTTTAAAACTTACTACATAACACTCAAGAGATTAAAGCCAGGGTCACTTCTGCTTGCTGTCCTCCTGATTCTGAGCAGCTTGCATTCCTCATTTTTTAAATGGCCCACTACAGTAGGTGTAAAGACTGACCTCCTCTTTGAACACTGCATTTCAGTGGTTATGACACAAGCTGTGGTTCAGCTCCCTCTTCAAACTGAGGAGCTCTGCAGTGAGCTGTTTCATTTCCTTGGTGATGTTCTAACCACTCAGTTAATATTCAAACTCTGCGCACCTTTACCACCATCCCATTCTCCTCCCAGCTTTTTAAGGAAACTTAACGTTGTCTGAATCAGTTTGTAGCATGCACACATCTCACAGCTCAGGCCCCTCTGGAAATACTGATGGTGTCAGGTCCCTTCTGAACTATCTCAGAGATAACTCTAGGAATCCAGCTCTTGCCCGTCTCCTTGAATGACAGTATTTTGAATGTACACGGACACCTTTGCTCAGATGTTCTCAAACAGAGGAGTGGACCTATACAAGGGGCCTACAGAGTTGGATGGTAGGAAGCAAGTGATCTGAATTAGCCTCCGAGTTGTAGATTCCTGAAGTCTGCCTACATTTAGACTATGAAAGAATGTGCACTACTGGAACATAATCTAAGCCTTTAAATAAGCCAAATTGGCCAAGAAGCAATGCATTTAAGGATTATAAGCCTTTACCTTTCAAATACTTCACAGGAAGTCAAGTCAGGTAATCTCTGACATCACTCTCCAAGACCATTTTTCTAAGACACTGCACCTTCTCTACCACAGAAACAGTACACTACATTATTCCCCTCTATTGAACACTTGCAAGAACACCTCTGCAATACTGTGTCTAGTTTCAGGCCCCTCACTAGAAGAAAGAGATTGACAAAATGTTGCGAGTCCATAGGAGGTCCAACCAGGATGGTTAGGGGGCTGGACCATGTGCAACGTAGGAGGAGGGACTGGATGAGCTGGATTTGTTCAGCCTGGAGAAGAGAAGGCAAAGAGTGGATCTCGTTGCTGACTTCAACTATCTAACGGGACAGTATAAAGAAGACTAAGCCAGACTCTGCTCAGAGATGCACAGCACAAGACTGAGAGATAAAAGACAAACTGCCCAAGGAAATCTCCTATTAGATATAAGGGAAAAAAGGGTTCACAATGAAGTGGTTAAGCATTGGAACAGATTGTCAAAAGATGTTGTGGAATCTCTCTCTTCAGAGACAATCAAAACCAGATGGGACAAAATCCTGAGCAACCTGATCTAATTTTGAAGTTGGCTCAGCTCCAAACAGGGAGTTGGACCAGAAGACTTACAGAGGTTCCTTTCAATCTAAATTATACCATCTAACCATTACTAAATTTTGGGTTATGTTTATGTAAGAAATCTCCCATTGGCTTTAAGGAGAATCATGCCTACCAAGAGAAACACAATTTGCTTAAGCTGTAACTTTTGAGCACAAAGTACATTAGCAGTGCTTACCTCATATCGATGCCTGTGTCGCTCCTCTACAAACATTTCATCACCATAAAGTTTCCCTGAATATATAACAAAAAAGAAATTAATGCTAATGTTTTGCTTTAATAGTTGTTACAAATATTTCTCGTAATGTAAACGTCAAAAAAATTTCACATGTAAAACATAACAGGACATTATTCATCTCACTCCAGCTTTCTGTTTTTCTGAGTGATGACTAGTTTCTTTTAATTTACTGTTACCTGAGTTTATTCAGGATTCATATTCAACATTCCTTGACCAGAAATAGCTTCGGTAGACTAGAGTCTGAAGGCTACAGTTAAACTAATTTAAACTGTAAAGCTCAAAATGAAATAAAAAAATGTTTGAGTGAACAAGGAACATAAAATCCCTTCAGGGTTTTACAACAGTTGTATGCAAAAGGTGCAGTGAAGGAAGCCTTTTAGTAGTATCTGTTCCATTTTAACAGATTATGCAAGGCAGCTGGCATAATACCTCCAATGACAATATCATGGTTTAACTCCAGCTGGCAACTAAGCACCACGCAGCCGCTCGCTCACTCCCCACCAGTGGGATGGGGGAGAGAATCAGAAGGGTAAAAGTGAGAAAACTCGTGGGTTGAGATAAAGACAGTTTAACAGGCAAAGCAAAAGCCGCGCATGCAAGCAAAGCAAAACAAGGAATTCATTCACTACTTCCCATCGGCAGGCAGGTGTTCAGCCATCCCCAGGAAAGCAGGGCTCCATCACACGTAACAGTTACTTGGGAAGACAAATGCCATCACTCCCAACGTCCCCCCCTTCCTTCTTCTTCCCCCAGCTTTATATATGCTCAGCATGACGTCATATGGCATGGAATATCCCTCTGGTCAGTTGGGGTCAGCTGTCCCGGCTGTGTCCCCTCCCAACTTCTTGTGCACCCCCAGCCTGCTCGCTGGTGGGGTGGGGTGGGAAGCAGAAAAGGCCTTGGCTCTGTGTCAGCACTGCTCAGCAGTAATGAAAACATCCCTGTGTTACCAAGGCTGTTTTCAGCATAAAACCAAAACACAGCCCCATACTAGCTACTGTGAAGAAAACTAACTCTACCCCAGCCAAAACCAGCAGAGACAAACAGAGAATATTGTTTTTCTCTGTTTTCCTGATCTCATTACCCAATGACTCTTGCAGTCCTCTGAGCCTAATCTGGAACACTCTACATTCCAGAGCAACAAGGAGTAAGTTAGAGGTATGCAGTAAACCAGAATTCAATCATACCTCTCACTTACAGTCACGGCTCAAACTTTGCTCTCAATTTATCCTAGTGTCATTAGGATTACTATCTCACTTAGGGGTTGGTACAAGAACTAGACTGCCAAAAAGATCTCCAAAAATTGTAGAGTGATAGTACTGCAATTTTACAAAAAGTGGTATATGTGTTAATTTTAAGGAACCACCTTTTCAAAGTCATTATTTCCATTCAAGTTGTAAAGCATTAGAAACAGGAATCAGATTTCCTGAGTAAACTACCAGAGCTTTCTATGAGTCTTTGATAAATATGGTCATCTGAACAACTCATAATACTGGTCAAGAGTTACACCACGTCAATTTTTATTAACTTTTCCAAGAAGCGTTTAGGCCACAGAACAACTTGTACATTGTGATATGCATATCTATATCACACCTAGGCAAAGCATCACCCAGGTCAGTCAGATCACTAGCACAGGCATTCTCTAGAAAGGCAGATTTTTCATTAAACATGCGTATGTATTACACTTTGGTCTCCTGCTGAAGCAGATGTCATTTTTAAAAGATCAGAAGGATACATTCCATAGGTTCAACATATCTAAATACAGTAATAGCTCAGATCAATGTCAGGGGCAGGGCAATATAAGAAATATGCCCATATTTATCGATGGACAAGAAACCACTTTTTACACATTTTCAGCATCACATATTACTACTGTATAATAGGCTGATTACTAGGAGACAAGTATTACTTCTATTTTAAAATACATATAGATCAAATTGAATCATTTGTTCTATATTCTGGTTGCTTTTATTTTGCCTTTTGAAGCATCCTGTTACAGCAAATCATTTTCCTTTCTGACAACAAATAATTTGCTTTCCCAAAACAAGACTGTTTGCAGGGCTGGGCTAGGCCTAGGGCAGTGCTGGATCAGAGACTGGAGTTAAGCAGGGCCTGGCTATAATTAGGATACAAACTAGCAAACCTTGTCAAGACAAGGTGAGGACTAAGGCAGCGGGGCCAGATGACAGTTAAAGCTGAGGTGTACTGGCAACTCTAAGCAATGACGAGCAATGTTTAGGTCTGGCAAGAGCATAATGGGTAGGAGTTTGGGTTAGTTCTACCAAAAAGCTTCAGGGGTAGAACAAGAAGCCCCGGTTCACATGTCCTATCAACTCATAACGAAAACAGGAAGAAAACACTCTGATCTTCCCAAGAAAATAATGAATTAAACTACCATAAAATGCATTTCAGTTATCTCAGCCGTCTCCTCATTGTTTATTTAAAGCATTGGACCCTAACTGACCTTTTCACTGGGACTTCCAGATCTCTCTCATTTCTTTCTTTACATTCTGATCCTGGGTAAATGTATATGGGAACAGGATCAGAGTGAATGAGCTTGGGGAAGCTGTTACCCAACTGCTCGCTTGAGGTTGTAGTCCTTTAACAAAATGTGCCTTGGCATTTTTACTTTGCCATGTTACAGAGTTCCTATCCAAAAGGCAAGTCATAAAAGCAGAAATGTAACTTACTTAAAACAGAATTTTGTGTTTTGAAAACAGTCTTCCTCTTCCCCAGTCTCATTGTTCCACCCATATCTCCAGGATTGTGTTCTGGCATGTCAATAACCTGTAGAGAAAAATTGTTTATACAGTGTTTCATCCAATAAAGAAAAAAAAAATATGCAACAATTGCATAACAGGCTGCATAGATTTATAAATGGTAATATGATTTATTTTTCCTCCAAGCATTCCCAATTATGACTTCTCTTTGGTTTTCCGAATGCTTGTTCTCAGTATTGGCACTGTAATAGACTGAGGATATTACCTAACTGGTGTGAAACTTTTTCATTTAATGTTAAGATCAACAAAAGCAATTCATTAGTTCCTTAATTTAATTTTTGGGGTGGAAAAAACCCCTTTCTTTTAAAAAAGATACCAAAATTTTAGCAATAGGATAATTCTGCCAAAAGCTATTCTTGGTGCTATAAGGGTACATAGATTTTTAAAAACTGATAAATTCATAGACAAAAAAAATCCACCAAGTGATAAAGATACCATCTCTGAAAAAGCGAGTCCCCGAACCACACAGTGATAGAGGCTGAAAGATTATCCTGGGTAAATATTACTGTACACTAGGCCCTTTCTTATATTGTTCTTTATACACAATGTTCGTTCTTAGGCTAAGAGGCAGAAACAGCTGTCTTATCAAGACAGCGTAACTCCTCTTTTTTGGGAAGTGGGGAGAGGAGGGCGTGGAGCAGCAGAGTGAAGAGAAAAGAAGAGGGCATTTGTAACGACTATAATCTAATGTTGTAAAAGCAGAGTACTAGAAGACGTGACTCCAACACATGTGCACTATTTCAGATTATATATGCAATTAATTTATCACAGGGAGAAAATGGAAAAACCTTCCCCCCTAATTCACCTTTACTAAAGGGTTTCTCAGATTGCCTAAGAATCCACATAATACTGGGTTGCCTTGTATGAAGAATATGCTATTTAACATAACATTTAAAGAAGAGGATATACAAATACTGGTTTTGAGGACTGAAGTGGATGGTTCAAATGGCTGCTATGCGGGTCAAGCGGAATTCAGGATGGTGGGATTCAGGGGATGTGAGAAACAACAGCTTAGTGGAAGGAGTGCGTTTAGTTTTGCTCAGTTTGAAAAATCCTGCTGGGTCTCACAATCATGTTTAGAGGAAGTCTCTCTCAGAGAGATAAAAGAGTTCAAAATTGTAGAAACACATGAGTTGAAACTATGACCTACGTGCTTGTATTCACATATACACCGTCAGTGAGGAATGTAATTGACAAAGAAAGGGTCTAAAAATACAAATATTCACACATATGGGTAATCTGGAATTGGATTTTTATTAACCTTAATTTGCCCTCTGGGAGTAATGAAAACAATTTCTGATGATACACTTCATGAAGTGAAGTTATTCAATTTAGAAGGGATGGTGGAAAGTGCTTAGCCTTTGGCCTTGTGCCAATGCATTTCAGCTGTGCAATTATCTCTGTATAACCTTATACCTTCAAAATGTTATTTATAAGCTATATACTCATTATAAAATGTCACAAGCAGAAGTTGTGATCAAACCAGTGGGATATTACAAATCCTCTAATTACCTCCCAAATCATGAAGGTGAGGACTATGCAGCACATTCCGCTAACAACTCCACAAACTCAAAAAAAAAAAAAAATCCTTCATCGAATCCCTATTACTTCAAAAAAGATGAGATTGTCTGCTTTTTACTTTATTTCCTTCCATTTACTTTCACTTTTTTTCTGAAGTAGTGGCCACAAAAAACCACAGGACATCAGAAGCAGTTAGAATGTGTACAGCAGACTGTGTATATGTCAAACACTGACCCTCTGAAATCGAACACAAGTTTTCGTATATGTCAAACACTCTGACCCTCTGAAATCGAACACAAGTTTTCCATGAGGTGTTATATACTTGCCTACACCCATACTACAGATAACCTTAACGTTGTGCTCCTGACTCTTGTCAAATGCAGATGAAGTGGTAACAAGCAGCTATCAAGTACTTCAAGTATACGCTTTTCTTCCAATTACAAAAATTTCACTTTAACAGCTGTTTAATGAATATTTGCAGTTGACAAGAAAAACAATGAGGTGGGTTTTTATTTCTTTGGTTGGTTGGGTTTTTTTAAGTTTGGAGGCTAAAGTCAAGATTAGACATTCCTTCATTCTCAAAAGAGTATCAAGCACCCAAATACTGTCCCCTAACCCCAGCTTTAGATTTTTCTTCCTAAAAATTTGGGGCAGGATGTTTTGGTCTAACTTTGCTAAATGAATCATAGTAATACCCAGGTGTCTGGGGTTCCCCCCTCCCCCTCCAGAAAAAATTAGATTTCACTATTTTCACCTTTCAGTATTTGTTGTAGTAAGATATTCTCGCTATCAAAACATTTTGAGCATAATGCCATAAATAGAAGGAAGCATGGGGATACAATGAGTGAGATGGTAACTTCTTGAAGGACATTGCTCAGCTCAAACTCCTCAATTAAAACACTGGCTCCAAATGAAGTGGACCTGTCTACGCAGTCCGTATCAGATGTCACTAATTCACTGCACTTAAATGTGTTCTCCAGGAAGACGCAAAAACATGAGTTAGCAAATATATGGTCTCCTGTTCATTAAACAGAGCATATCAGTTCAAACAGGTTATGGCCACACTCTCAGCTCTTCCTTCTTCCAGTAGGCAAAAAACAAACACTGGATGCTCATGAGTCCCACTAAAGCTCTAGATAATAGCCTGGAACGAAGCCAGGCTGTGAAAGCACAGCTTCGTCTGCTCTGCTGAGGCCTTCCACCGCCCCTTGGGTCAGAACCCGACATGGGGCTGCAAGCCCAACAAAAATTCCACTGGAGAAATGGCCTCTCAGGGAAGATTTGGGCATTTTTCCCCCAGTTAATCTTTGTCTTCTAAAAGGCCTCCTTCCTTGTCTCAACAGTTACCATAGTGTGGTCAGGGGCACATATTCAAAAGAGGATCCAACCCTTAAAACTTTCACTAATGTCTGCTAAGGCTTAATTGAGGTGTCTTTTAAGAAACATTGCATGATACAACTGTTCAATCTTATTTCTACCTGTTGCAGATTTTCTGCCAATATGACAGCTGTATTGAGTTTCAACATCAGGCATCTTACTGTGTGTGTTCATGTTTTGTTATTGATATGTGCATTATAAAGCAGCTCTCCATCTTCCCCAAGATTTTTAGGTTTATGATAGTAATAAAATAGACAAGGCTTCAAATATTAATTTTTGTAGTCAGGTGAGGAAAGGAGCTACTCATGAAGTAATACCTCAGAGCTACTCTGAATCTTCCTTTTTGATATGCTCTGTAGCTCTGATCAACTTCAGCAACTATCACAGCACAACCCTCAACGTTTATATATTACATGAGTTTCTCTGCAACAAAGTCTGTGCAAGAAGCTTTTGAAAGCACAGTGGCACTGCTGCCCTACAGCCCAAGGACAGTAATAAGCATCAGAAAAGCAACTCATATTATGGAAAATTTTGCCATATTTTACAGAATTTATTTGATCAGATAAAAGACGAACCTTCAAGTGGTGGTTATTTTGAACAACTGTGCAACTGAATAGATTCTTCAAAGAGCTTATGCTTCCTGCCACAGAATAAATCAACTCCTACTATGCACTAGTTCTTTGAAGAGCAGAGAACAGCACAGAACAGGCACCACAAGCAACAAAAAAGCATCAGTAGAGAGGGTGCAAGAAGAGATAAGGCATTAATTAGGTCTTTCTTACCCACAGCTCTGAAAACTGCCAACACTACAGGGATTTTACAGAGATCACGTATCACACACCAGACAGCCAACATGAAATAAATAATGAATCTCTCTGACATAACACAAAGCACATTCTAGATACAAAAGTCTGATCAGTATTAAATCATGCTACTGATGAATAGTGACTTTAACTACCCATGAACTGCAATCTTCTTTCAGAAATCTACTGCTTGGATCGTTTCATTGTTGTTAGGAAACATATAAAAGCTAATGAGAAAACCGCTCAAGCCCAGACACTCAACACAGAGCAACCAAGGCCCTGAAAACCCAACACCTATCATTTTAGTAATCACCCCTGGACCATTAAGTTTTGTCTTTGTTTTGCCTCACGTCCTGCAATGCCATTTTGAGAAATACATCTACCTTGGTTACCCTGGGGGGAGGGGGGTCGTCGGTTTGGTGGGGGTTTTGGTGTGGGGGGGGGGAGGGGGGGAAAGGCGGGAAGGGAGGGGAGCATTACTTGGTTTGAACAACTCATTGGTAAGTCAGCTTCGGAAGTGAGTTTTTAGGTTTTTTGCCTTTTTACTCTGCCCTTGTCTGGTGAGCAAATGATTTGTCGCTGCTGAAAGAAATTGCTATACATGTAAGCACTGATCAAAGCATCAGGAGAAGCCCCAACCCTAAAGATTAATTGAACACTGAAAAGGGGTTCTAAGACACTCGGCACACAAGAGATGTGCAGAGGGAAAGCTGACAGGAGCAGGGAATACAGTGACAGGTACTGATGAATATTGCTGAGCACAGCTATGAAAAAAACCCAGCAACGCAAACTGACAAGGACTCAACCCAAACTAGAGGAACCCATTCTTTGACTCTTCCATCATTTCTCTGCAGGATTAGTCAGTACTTGCTAGATTCGATCTGATCTGTTTCAATCATAAGTCCATCAGTAAACAGACCCAGCCACCTACAAATGGATGTTTATAGTAACTTTTTAGAAACAATAGTACAAACATTTTAAAGAAAAAATTGACAGATGCAACACTAAGTGGTACTGACAGCTTCCAACTTGGCAAGTAAACCAAAAAGACACTCCCCATTCATTCAAAACCAGGGTTTTAACATTTTCAATTACTGAAAGAGGTGCAAGGATCACGTATTTGCCAGAACCCCTTACTTCCTTGTCCCCCAAAGATACCCTAGTTCCAAGCAAACTCCATCATTGCCCACCTATCTAAAGCACTCAGCCCTCTACGATAGAACTAGTTGCCATAAAGCCACTTGCAGATTTCAGACTACTCAGTGCTCCATTACTCTGACTGAAGTAATGTTCGTTTTCAAAAAGA